TCTTTCACTCCAGTCTTTGCCTCTATTCTGGTCTTTCCCAGGCCCTGTAGGGATCCTAATCTAATCTTTTTAAGCAAGAATAATTTGATAAGTCTAAAAGTATATTCTGACAAAATAAACTTGAAGTACTTTTTTCTTTTCCCCTTGCTAGTATTGCCACCCGCTCTTCCCAATAACAAGAATATCACCGTATCCTAGACTATTATCTCTTCAAGGACATCTCTCTTCACCTACCACCTAGCAGTGTCTGTCACATAGTAAGAACTCAGCAAATATTTTGTGAACTAAAATGAAGGTGAACATTTGTAGGGCACAACTATACACCTCAATTCTTGATTATTCACAAGTGACTCCAGGGCAACTCTTAATGTAGATTCTTTTTTTCTTTTGCTGTCACCTAGCTTGCTTCTGAGCCCCCACCCGATTTCTTAAAATCATTGTGTAGATAGCAGTAGCAAACAGATTTTAATATCATCCTAAGCAACAAAGTCTACTTTTTTAATTTGTCAATTAAAAGGAATACTTTCATTTTGTTAAAGTCTAAAATCAATTATATTTCTTTGCTGCTGCCTTCTATTAATATAGATCAAAAGACTTTGATATATTAAAAGTATTTGTTCATTAATCAGTTTTTTATTTTAGGTATGTCTATCTAGTTATGGTCGCCCCTTTTTAGACATTATTTTTAAAATAATAATTCTATTGTAACTCCGAAAGCTTGGCCCTTTCTATTAGTCATTACTAGGGTTTTTTCCCCCATCTTTTAAAAAAGAACAGCTTTCACCATTTTTTGTGGGAGAAAAAAAATGTCCTTGAGGGGATAGGATGTTCTAGTTTAATTTTCACTTGCTTCAGTGGCCTTTCCTATTATTTTTGCTGAAGAGATGGGCGGTTTTTTTGACTCTTCAACTCACACTTGGCGAAGTAAAAGTAAATTAACATATGAAGGTAGTGTTTCTTAAACAGAACAGTCATACAAACCACCTCTCTATAGTAACATCTTTATCCTCAGTACTCTGCTAGTCTTTTTTTTCCTCCTTAATAGCTATCTTTCCAGGTTAAAATATCCTTTTCCACCTTCTCTTCCTCTAGCCCCAGCTTTTGATAGCTACAACTGCTTATGCAATAATTTAATAATTTTGAAGTGAACAAAACAAAAGAGATGGTGGGTTTGCTGATCCCTTCTCCACAGCGTGAAAAAGTGTGGGAGTCTATAAAAAGCCTTCTCATCACCGAATAAAAGCCATTTTTAGATTCCCTCCCTCCCCCATGCAAAGGTGTGCTTGTAGTGTGTGTCACTGTTTTACGACTTTCTTAGAGTACAGAGTGGCAGGTTTTAATGAAATACAAATTTAAATTCTGTTAAATAATATAGGAGAAAATGTCATTTTCTCAAAATTTCCTCCGACCTATATTCTTGAGCTTATTTATTCAGCAAACATTTACTGAATGCCTACTCGATATCAAGCACTGTGCTTAGGTGCTAGGGAGACTGACAGAACATTTACTCTACCTTCAGAAAGCTCACAACCTCATGCACAGATAGACAAGTCTGATGAGTAGTGTGATAAAGGTATACTGAAGACAGAACAGCGTCCAGAGGAATGGTTTCCAGCATTAACTTCAAGTTAAGCTAGACACTAAACAAGTGACTACATCATGAATCTTCATTTCAGAAGCCTAATAGTCAAACACATAAGAAAAAACTTCGAAATAAAAGCAAAGCCCCTTGACCAGGGTATAATAGTAAAGTTTGTGTTTCATATTTCACATACTTAATCAAATTATATGAAAGTTGTTATTTTTATCAAAGATTCTGAACAAACATTATAACAGCTTCATTTTTTTATTCTGAAGAAGTTATATATTTTTTTACAATGGAAGAACATTAAACAGCAGATTAACATAGATTTACTTAAAACTGGTCCCCAATCATATTGATGTTTCAAAGAGCTATTTTGTTTGTTTCTGGATGATAATGTTTTAAAGATAAATTATAAACAAGTAGTATGTTTTGTCTTGGTAAAGTAGAACATGATATTTCTTCTTAATCTTCTAAAACTCTTGAACATCAAAGAAAATGTTTGTCTCTCATCATTTGTAAATAATCTGCATCAGTGCCTAACTGCATAAAATATCAAATTGACCCTTTCCATTATTAATCTTGAAATTGTGCAGTCCAGAAAGTGTGGGAGCCAGGTGGAGTGTTCATTTTCAAAGGGACCGCTACTTGAGTGGGCAGGATAATGAACAGAAAGAACACCCAGTAAAGTTGATTGTTTAATTTGTTGTACTTCTCAAGTCACATTCCCCTCATTTTGAAATTGCTTCATTGTCTAAGTTGTCTTTGGAGTTTTGAACTTCTTGTATGCAATGAAATTGAATATTTTAAAGTTTATTTCCCCATGGATATCCACTATCAGACTAAAATTTGTCCTGTTTTGTGGTCTCTTGCATATTTCTTAAAGACTTCTAGTGTTGGTGATTTCTGTTATGAAGCTGCTATGGAAAACTAAGAATTCTTTTATAAAAAAAGAATTTTAGAGTGAAGCAGAGAATTACACTGTTAGCATTATTTACTGTATTTAAAGTAGATTAAAAATTTGCACCTCTTCTTCAGACAAACTTTTAAAATGCATTCTTTTTAAAATACACCTTAGCAGGTCATTTAATTAGTGATGTGTCAGCTAAAGTCACTGTAATTTCGAGTTTTAACTTAAACAGTGTATTCCAATATCCTTGAGTTTAAAATCTTAGAAAGTATAATGTGACTTGATTTGATAAACAGGATCCTAACCCACAAGTGTTAATTTTTATCTGAGAAAAAACAAACTAATAATACTGAAATTATACATATTTGCACATGAATATGTTTTATTTTATTCTGTTATGTGAATGGTATGGATTCTAGTGTTACTGGTTATCTTTGTAAATCAAGTTATTTCAATTTGAAACAGCTGTTCCCATATCATTTGAGATGTCACTTTCAGTCAATACACTTAGTGTTAGCTAACTGTTACTCAGCAAAAGTGTGACTTGGTAAGTCCTACACCTTGTCTAAGTCTTCTGATTTCTGGCATTTAGAAACTTATAAATGTAATTTGTTAATAAATATTCAGCAATGTGAATAGTAACAGATCCTGATGCCTTTGTCTCTAGAACCATAAACCTAGTACATAAATTCCAGTTCACATCAAATCTCTCTTTGCCCTGGGAAATGAGTTTAGATTTCCCAGGAAATAATGTAGAAAAATTTTTATTGAGCTGTCAAATATTTTTTTATAAATTTCAAAAATATGGGTTGAGATACATTGTTAACCTGTAGCACTAATAGAACTTTCTGTAGTGATGGAAATGATTTATATCTGCAGTTGTTCAATATGGTAACCATAGTCAGTAGCTACCTTAAAACACAGCTGGTGTGACTTAGGGCCTGAATTTTACATTTTATTTAATTTTAATATCCATGTAGATAATGGTTATCTTATTGGACCATAGAGTGGTAGAATATCCCTTGCATTTGATATGTATGTCCTCAATGGCTTTTTAAAGAGCCCTTCATTATTTGAAAACAAAACAGATCACAAATAGTAAATTTAAAAAAACTCTAAATATAGATGTAATGGTAGATACCTTCCCAACATTCTGAAGCATTCTAAAAGGAAAAAGAAAATCAGCCCAGTGATCAATTTAATTTTGGCTCTTGGCTTTTACTTAAAAAATAGGGTGTAAAATTTAATTTCCCTCAAGGAACATATGTTTTGACTTTTCAAAATTTTAGACTATATAATAAAATGTTGTACCTTCTAAACCTCTTTAATTTTGTTTTCTGATGAAGGAAAGAGCAATTATAAAATGTTTCAAATAGTCATGGACAAAATGTAAAACTTGACTTCTTAAAAATGGTTTGTCTGAAAACCCTAGGGCAACAAGACAATTAATTGCTCCTTCCCCTTCCTAAACATGTACTATTTAAAAATCCCCCATGGTTGTACATGTTTTTGAGCTATTAATTTTTATGATATCTTTTTTTTCTGAAAGATTAGAGCTACTTACTGACTGACCACTCCATCTTTTGTAAAGAAAGACATCACCCTTTGAAAGCATTTTCCCTTTAAAAGTCATTTCATTGCATTTAAGAAACATCCATTATTATCCTTCCAGGGAATGTTATTTTTTACTGGGCATTATAATAAGACTAAATCATCTTTGCCTATCAAGAAGCAAAGAAAGGCTTGATTAATTCATCAAGGACATTAAATTCCAGCTTTATTCACTCTGGTGACCATACCAAGGCTGAGTTGAGGAAGAATTTGTGAAAGTATCATTTGGTTAAAATTGTATGCCTGTCTCTTTAAATCTTAAAAAAAAAAAAATCCTTTCAGAAGCTGTAGAGAGAAGGTGCTAGAACTGTGTACGATCATGACTGGAAAGCAGGATCCCTCAGTGACTGCCGAATCTTCCCAGCACAAGACAGAGAGGCAGTTCAGCACAAGCCTACACTGGTTCTAGGCAGAACGATGATCCTACCGAAAAGATCTCAAATAAAATTAAACTGAGAAAGCAGATCTTTCAAGGGAATGAGGCGGAGGCTCGCTTTTATGTTAAAAGAAACCAGCATCCTCCTTGCTAGACATGGACATGACATTTTTAAAGGAATTATTTGGTTACAGCGTTTTAAGCAAACTGTTCTAAGAAGTCTGTACATTGCATTGTTTTTCCTATTCTTTTTTTCTTTTGCATATATGTAATTCTGGAGGTAAAGAAAAAGCCTGCCAGGGATTCAGAAGGCATCCCACTAGCGATCAGCTGACATTCCTAACTGAAGGCTGCAATGTGTTGCTTATTCATTTTGTACCGTGGGAGCTGCGGGGACTAGCAGAGAGCTAAACTATGCATTTCAAACAGCAGTGCTTGTGCAGAAAGAGGGGTGAGAGAGAGGCAGCCGGCGAGGAAAGAGCACAGCTGGACTTTCTCCTTGTTTTTATCCATTTCTGCAGGATCATGTATTCATAAGGGATGAGGCGGGCCACGGCGATCCCAGGCCTGAGCCGCGGCCTACCCAGTCAGTTCAGAGCCAGGCCCTCCACTACCGGAACAGAGAGCGCTTTGCCACGATCAAATCAGCATCTTTGGTAAGCAAACACCCCTCTACCCACCTTCCCTTCCTTCCCCTCCTCCCCATCTGGCAGCCTCTCGCCCTCCCTGAGCCCCTCTCGGCTTCATGGATGGGAGGAAAGGAGTCAAGAATGTTTCTTCCTCCTAATAATTTTATTCATTTTAGAAAAAAATCTGTTGGCATAGCAACCTGATCTCAAATATTTTAGCATTGTCTACAGCATGGGGGGAAAAAAACGTGTGTGTGTGTGTTTGTGTGTGTGTATTTGTATATGCTGTATATGCAAAATAAGAGGCCTTTAAGATGAAGTTGCTAACCTAGCCAATTTTTTAAAAGCTATTTGTCTTTTCATTGAAATAATAATGCTAAAAAATATTTTAAAGGTATCTGATATATGTATATGCAGGGCACTATGATGCTTTTTGTATAAATGTATGTGTGTCTATACACACATTAAAAGATAAAACACAATTTTTAAAAAATATATGGTTGTTGGCTAATGTATATGATTGTAGGAAATAAGATACTTGCTTATGAGGATGGATTGCTGGTTCGTTCTGGTTCATTCATTTATTTATTGCAACAATGGTAGTGGCTGCACTTCCCCATTTAACCCCTGAAGAATTTCCTGGCACCAATAAAGCAAAAAGGGCTTTGTAAGAGAGGATAGGGATGGTTGTGGAAGAAAAGATACTGTAGGATCCTTCAGCATTTTTACTATTGCAAATGTGATTGCTGGATGCCCTTGTAGTAGCAAAAGGGGTGTGTGCTGGAAGAGTTAGTTTTCATGCCTCCTCCCCTTGGCCCCCCACGCGTGCGCGTGCGCGCTCCCATACTCTCTCACACACATACACACACACATCGTTTCATCCGTGGCACTCTAAACTCTCTCTAATCTTTTGCTTCTGAATCTCACTTCTCAGCCAAAAAATTATGGAAATATTGGTTGTTTTGCCCAAATTGATGTTAGAGGTCACATGGGCAGGAGAGTTAGTATACACTGCCTAGCTAGTACATTTAGAACCTATGATGACATCATCTGAGGCCGACCCAGAAATGATTATTTTCCTTGTCCTATTTTTTAAACCTGGTTTCCACTTTTATTTCTGAAGTTTTTTAAAGGTTTTGATTAATTTTGGAATTGGTAATGGATCCTAATATTTAAAAACCCAAATAAAAGGAAAATGGGAGTTAAAGCACCTACATGTAGCTATGCCTGCCAGTGTCTAAAAGCAAGCACTTTTATTTCAGCTGCTTATAAATGAACTTGCCTTTAAGTTCCTTTGTATAGAAGTTTCTTGTAATCTCTTTAATGGGCTTTTTTTTTTTTATTTTAAATGAATGCTATGCTGTGTAATGGAGATCTTAAAATGTCCACTATGTACCTGCTAATGATTGTTAAGCACCTAAAAAACATGCTTTGAGTCTAAATAAAGCATCATAAATACTAAATAATAAGTATCTTCATGCCATATCTGACAAAAGAATAAATATGGTATTTATGGACTATTTCTACTTAACCACTGACTCTTGTGAGGCTTGAACCTTTACCCAGACATTTTCATGTTGAAATGAAAGGAGAAATGATGAATAACCACTGAGAATCAGAGCACCATGAGTAGGTTTTGAATGTGAAGCAAACATTATACCAATTGGATTTCTCCCACTGGGATAGGTTTTCTTCTTTTCTCACTTGCCACACCTCATTCCCACGTCATACATTCACGACCTCTCCTACCTCACAGTAAGGTATTACTACTGTCATGCCAGAATGATCTCACACTCACATTTGTGAACTCACTGGGGCTACTCTGTGTGTATATTAGCCATCAGAGTCTTTCTCCCTGTGGATGATGAAAACTGCTTCCCTGCTAGGCCACCTCAGGACTATGGGCAAAATCCATAAGAACTCCTCTGAGTCCCACATAGTGCCCATCCAGAGAACAGCTGGGATCAGTCTGCAGTAGACTTCTGATTTGTTAAAAGGCCCCTACCTATTGTAAGTAAAACACAGAGTAGCTGATAGGCTGTTGCTTTACATTTACACAGAAAACACTCTCCAAATTTAGTGCTTTGTGAGTTATAGTGGGATTGATTGAAGTTTACCAGAATTCAGGGGTATTTGCATATAGTGGCTTTTAAGGATTTTTAAAAAATTTAATGGAAGGAAATATCAGTATAATGTTGTATGGTTCTGTGTCCCATTTTGGACAAGCTAGCTAGCTATTGGTATGGATATTTTAATGTATATTATCAAGTACTACAGTTCTTTCACCCATTATTTTAAAGGCTAATTCCAATAGGAATATATAAATCAGGACACTGGAATATCAAAAAGAAGTAGCTAGTTTTAAAATATATATCATGAATCTTATTATTCCCCATGGATTGTAGCTCAAATGAAAAAGACTAAAATTACTTAATTGACATATAAGAGCAATATAATGGGAAAAGGAAACTCCAGTCTAATAAATAATCAAGTCACTGTTGAAGCCTCCCTCTCTTCACTTCTCCTAGTTGGTAGCAATACTATATTGATTTATTTATTTTGGTTTTACTCTCTCTATATAGTCTTCTAGCAGAAGTGCTAACAAGCCATAGAGATTGAAAAGTGCACAGCAAAAAGAAAAAGAGAAATTTAGAAATTAGTTTTTCAATTACTAGACAAACATGTAATGATTGTATATTTTACATAGACTTGCAAACTGACAAAAAAATATTATTATGGTTTCTCAAATTTGTTTTAATGGCCTACTTGTACATAGACCTAAAGGAGGCCTACCTCTGATTTTCCCAAAACCCTCTAAGGGTTTTCCCCTAAAGCAGTTCTTTCTACATTGTGATTTTTGAGCTTGGTTATTGATAAGTGTATGAAGCCCACAGGCTACAGGCTTTACTGCTAGATTTTTTATTATTCGGCACCTTAAATCTGAAATTTTTATGTTATTATGTACTGCTGTACAATTGCATTTGTAACGAAGGAAAAGCAAAGACTGAACCTTGATACCAAAAGAAACCCTGAGGAGACTTTAGAATTATATATATACATATATATATATTTATTTATTATAATCATTTAAACTCAGATATGATTGACCTTATGTTGAAAAATTAAGAAAAGGAAGGTCATTTCATGGAATCTCTTTTTATTTTATCATTTCTTTTTCTTCTGTAAGAAAGTTCATGTTGGGCTGATTTGGTATCTAGAGAAAAGAGCTGTATAGCTCTTCGGAATTACTCATGTGACTTCTTGGGCCTTTGAGATTGCTTTCCTTCACTTTTTATTGTTGGTCAATGGGAGTATAATATTTTAATTATTTTAGTGACCAATGAGAGTGTTTTCAGCTATTATTACATCTGATGGCATTTCATAAAATTTCATAATGTCCTAGGTCATTGGCAGTTCTCATAGTAGATGTGAATATAAAGAGCACCAAGGCCATATCTATCAGACAATTCAGCTTTTAGTCTTATGAATGAATTCTCATTGGAAAGCAGTGGTCTTACCACACAGGTGAATTTATGTTAGGATACACATTAGGGAGAGGGGCATAAAATCCTTAGTTTCTAATCTCTAAGAAAGCATGTAGGAGAAAATGATTATTGTTCTATCGCAAATATATATTCTTTTACTTTGTTTTTACTAGATTCAGTAGAAAAGCTCATATAGAAATGAAGTCTCCATTTGGATTTTTAAAATGCAATGTAATTATTCAGCTAATTGTCAAATTGGGTACCTGAATGAGTTGGCTAGATAGGATAAAAATATTAGAGCTTCAGCAGTAAATGCTACTGTTCACCTTTCGTGAGCCCCACTGTTCTGTCTCTAAATGCTTGAAAATGTGTTCTCCTGAATAGTGTACCAGAGGATGCTTATCAAAATGTTGTGTATCTTCTCATTCTTAATCTCACTAAGATTATTGCTGATACGCTTTTTCACTTGTGCTGCCCAATCTATATGCCTAACCCACATGAGCAGCATCTCTCAATAAACATGTATTGAATGAATGAGTGAACAAATGAATGAATGAAATATCTTCCAGCCCTGCTATCACGTAAGAATTTGGATTTACGTGTGCATTTCAAAGTTCTTCACGTCAGTTTTTCTGTACAAGGCAGAATTGCCTGTCTCAGTCATTACTTTCAATTTGAACTTTACACTTTTTATCCCTAGGTGTACTAAAGAGTGGAATGTCAAATTTCTAATGCTAAAATGCGACTCATATTCTTTTTAAGAACTTACTATAAATTTCATTTTTTTCTAAGTGCTGAGATAGCCAGTTTTATCATATGCATTATTTTGATTCTTGCACAAAGTTAATCTTGTAAGTCGGCTTTGTTCTCTTAAGAAGGTAACATTGTCAGTCACTGTGCTCCTCCTTCATGTTAGTAAGTTGCTTATCAGCCTTCTAGTGCAGTGTTCCGTACTTGGTAGGCATATAGTATACTTTGTATGAAGTGGTTTGTTTTAGGGCCAAATTTTGCTAGAATTAAATAGGGTGGAATAGAATAGCTGTTGAAACTTTCTGAAAAAAGTTCAGTCTTCCTTTATTATTTTTTATTTCTATAAATTATACCAGGTGTATGAAATAGTTAATAATTCAGAAAATATGCATACTTATTTTATAGTTCACAGCCTAAATACAGGTACAGTTTTATTGTTAAACTTGCCCTTTCTTGTGGATCTATGTCCCCAACACCAGAAATGGTTAGTGAAGGGGAAAAGAAACATTACTCAGAGTCTGTTAGGAGAAGGAAGGAAACCAGCATGTACTGAGCATGTCCTATGTGTCAGATATCTTGTTATCTCATCAGTGACCTCGTCATAGCAGTAGTTCCTCCTTATATATGAAGAAAGAGACTTTGAGAGGCTAAGAAATTTGCCCAAGGTCAGATGTATAGTAAGGGATGGAATGAGATTTGTCTCTAAGCAACCTAATAGGTGTGCAAGATGATACTGCCCACTTTTAGTTTATCATATTTTTTAGGCTACCTCTGTGAAAACTACAGTTACTGTATTTCTATAACTTTCTCCCATTTTCAGACTTACTCAGTTTGTAACTTAGACTTATTACTCTCTCCAGTTTTGACTTTTTTGGGTGTCGATTCCCTTTACTACTTCATAAGAGAAAGTTCGATTCTTTTCTGTCTTAGTGATGTGAATTTCCTTGGGAAATTCAAGAACCATAGGACCCTTAGTTCAAATCCCAGTCTTTATAAAAATTAAAGAGAGGTAAATTACATGTGACAGCATATTGTAAACCATAAAGCATGATAAAATTGTGAGCTTTTTTAATTCTCTTGACCAAATAGTGTATTCATAAGATACACAGTGTAAACTTAAAACACACACGCATATATAACTGTAAGTAACCTATTTCTTATATATTTCATGTTAGACTTCATAAAGGAAACATCTGGCTATACTTTCATTTAAATTCATCTATCTAGCTTGAGCATGGAATTATAAAACTCAGTATCTGTATATGTACCTAAAAAGACAACAATTACTTTGAAACATAGAAAGTTTAGTTGCAACAAATGTAAGGTGATATTAGGAGTTTAAAAAGGTAATTACAAAAATTATGGGAAGCATTTTAAAGGGAAGTGTCTCTCCTGGAATTCAGTGGTGCACAATGATAGCATTTGGGGCTTTGTAATTTGTTTTTGCCACATGTTTGTACGGTCTGGTGTGCAATAGGGCCACCCTCCTCACAGGGACTCACCCACCAATTAGGATAGAAAATGTTCTTGACACAGCTCATTTCTATTTTATCTTTAGGCACCTCGTTTAGGGAAATGGCTATCCTGAGACTATTTTATTGACACAAGCCAGTCAGACATTCTGTTGGCAAGTTTTAGATGTGTTATGATAGCTTTAAATACCTCATGATACTTCAGCTTTGGGAATCTGATTAAAGAAATACTAAAAAAAGAAAAAAATAAGATTACGGATAAAACATATCTCAAACCCATTACCCTAGAACAGACATTTTACTACCATATTTGCCTGAAAAACAAGTGAATTCAGAAAGGACTAAATGGTATCCTTTCTTTTGGCCGTAATTGTTTTTTCCCTATTGTTGAATTTCAGGAAGGCACAAGAATGAGGAAGTGAAATATATACATATTATTTCAAACTACTCCTTTCCTTCCTCTTATCATGAAATAAGCCTCTTTTAAAAAGAAAATGTGATGACAAAATAGATTATTTTCTTTAGAGTGTTAGGTGCCTCTTTGGTGAAGCTGTCCTTTTTTTAGTCTTGAAATAGCCTGTGCTCTTATTCCTCATACTTTAAAGAGGATTGTCCTTTAGAAAAGAGGAATGAATATGAAACCTAGTGTTAGTTTCAGCTAGAAAGGTTTCAAAGTTCATCTAATGTTTAATGGTGTACTTTGATAATACTATCCAGTTACAGAACAGCGCTGTCTTGATAGTAAAGACTCAGCCTAGTACATAGGGCACCTTCTAAAAAGAGCAAAGAAACAAACCATTCTTTGTACAAATGCACTTTGACTAAATTGAAAATATTAGGGGGAATTAATAGCAACATGAAAATTTCCAATAAAACTTGTTTGAGGGTTAGGGTGGGGAGAGGTGGCTTTAATAGATAAGAGTGACCAAATTACTTAATGAAAAATGAAACTAAAGTTACAATTTTGTGATTAACTTTTTTTCCTAAAATAGGAAAGATGAGAAGGAAGTGACTAGAAAATCCAACAGGAAAATAAAAGGGTGATAAATTGAAGGACTGGAAAAATCAGAAAAGGTTTAATAGAAAGAAACAAGAGATACCAAAATTTACATTTGCAATCTTCATTTTGTTGGATATTCACTTGAGAATGGGTTAAGGAAAAATTACTAAGAAAAGTGGCTATCCAAAAATCACAGAAATGCTTTCTTCTCATCAGGAGGGCAAGTAAATATATTGTAATTTGTTAGCATCTTTTTTGTGGGGAAGGGAAGGAAAGAGACAGATGACTTAAAAGGAGAGAGCTCTCTTTTGCATGTGCTCTCTCTCTTTTTCTCTCTCTCAATTCGTATTAAGAATTGGAAATAAATCTCATTCAAACCATTTTAAAAGGATATTCAAGATTCCTATGACTGTTAGAGATGTAATCTAAAAAATAAGATTACGGATAAAACATATCTCAAACCCATTACCCTAGAACAGACATTTTACTACCATATTTGCCTGAAAAACAAGTGAATTCAGAAAGGACTAAATGGTATCCTTTCTTTTGGCCGTAATTGTTTTTTCCCTATTGTTGAATTTCAGGAAGGCACAAGAATGAGGAAGTGAAATATATACATATTATTTCAAACTACTCCTTTCCTTCCTCTTATCATGAAATAAGCCTCTTTTAAAAAGAAAATGTGATGACAAAATAGATTATTTTCTTTAGAGTGTTAGGTGCCTCTTTGGTGAAGCTGTCCTTTTTTTAGTCTTGAAATAGCCTGTGCTCTTATTCCTCATACTTTAAAGAGGATTGTCCTTTAGAAAAGAGGAATGAATATGAAACCTAGTGTTAGTTTCAGCTAGAAAGGTTTCAAAGTTCATCTCATGTTTAATGGTGTACTTTGATAATACTATCCAGTTACAGAACAGCGCTGTCTTGATAGTAAAGACTCAGCCTAGTACATAGGGCACCTTCTAAAAAGAGCAAAGAAACAAACCATTCTTTGTACAAATGCACTTTGACTAAATTGAAAATATTAGGGGGAATTAATAGCAACATGAAAATTTCCAATAAAACTTGTTTGAGGGTTAGGGTGGGGAGAGGTGGCTTTAATAGATAAGAGTGACCAAATTACTTAATGAAAAATGAAACTAAAGTTACAATTTTGTGATTAACTTTTTTTCCTAAAATAGGAAAGATGAGAAGGAAGTGACTAGAAAATCCAACAGGAAAATAAAAGGGTGATAAATTGAAGGACTGGAAAAATCAGAAAAGGTTTAATAGAAAGAAACAAGAGATACCAAAATTTACATTTGCAATCTTCATTTTGTTGGATATTCACTTGAGAATGGGTTAAGGAAAAATTACTAAGAAAAGTGGCTATCCAAAAATCACAGAAATGCTTTCTTCTCATCAGGAGGGCAAGTAAATATATTGTAATTTGTTAGCATCTTTTTTGTGGGGAAGGGAAGAGACAGATGACTTAAAAGGAGAGAGCTCTCTTTTGCATGTGCTCTCTCTCTTTTTCTCTCTCTCAATTCGTATTAAGAATTGGAAATAAATCTCATTCAAACCATTTTAAAAGGATATTCAAGATTCCTATGACTGTTAGAGATGTAATCTTTAAAAACAAAAAAGCGAGCAGTGTCATATTGTGCAGTGGTTCTCAACCAGAGGGATTTTGCCCCCCAGGTGACATTTGGCAATGTCTGCAGACATTTTTGAAAGGTGCTTGGGACACTTGGGAGGTGCTACCAGCATCTCCTGGGTAGGCCAGAGATGCTGCTGAACACCCTACAACGCACAGCCCCTCAGAACAGAATTATCAGCTCACTGTCAGTAGTGCCTAGTTTGAGAAATCCTTGTGTGTAGCATGGCTCTGGAATCAGATAGAGATGGGTCTGAATCCCAGCTCTGCTCATCAGCTATGTGACCTTGAGGATATGTATAATAATTAATCAAAAATATGTAAATATATTTTGGCTTAATTAATAAATTGATTCCATCAAGTTTCAATTTCCTTATCAATTAAATGGTAACACCTACCTCATGAATGAAAAAAATGAATAAGTGAATGAGATTGCTTTTAGGATTAGACAAGTATATAAAGAGCAACCAGCACCGTGCCTGGTACAGGGGATGGTCAGGAAATAGTAGGTAAATTGATGGAGATGATGATAGATAAGATTAATACCAGAGAGTTCTATTTTGCCTGAAAGTTTGTCTTCCATGAATGTGGTTACCTGAATTCTGTTCCCCAACCCAAATCAGGTTACACGACAGATCCATGAGCATGAGCAGGAGAACGAGTTGCGGGAACAGATGTCAGGTTATAAGCGGATGCGGCGCCAGCACCAGAAGCAGCTGATCGCCCTGGAGAACAAGCTGAAGGCTGAGATGGACGAGCACCGCCTCAAGCTACAGAAGGAGGTGGAGACGCATGCCAACAACTCGTCCATCGAGCTGGAGAAGCTGGCCAAGAAGCAAGTGGCTATCATAGAAAAGGAGGTCAGTACGTGCACACACGCATTTGCACCACAACCAAGCCAAGCCTGTTCCAATCAGCCGCATCGTGTGAGCAGGGGACCAGAGCAGTGTGTTTTTTGGCCATGGAGGAACAGTATTGCTTTGGGGGAGTGGGATTTCCAGGCTTTATGGAGCTTCTTAAAAATTGTCATTAGAAGTTAAAGTAGTAACCTAAGGTGTATATTACATTCATGTCTATTCAAATATATTCTGATCATCAGTCCCTTGACGCGGATCTTGGTACAAATAAAAAGAAACAAGATGTTTGTATCCTATGGAAATTTGCACAATTTAGGTCTATTATGGAGCCTGCCATACCCACAGTCCTCTTCAAAAGAAAAGTGCTCCACAAAGACGCTCTTTTAGTGGTGATAATTCATGCCCACAGCTGACTGAACTAGGGATGGGCACCTAACCGGCAGCAGCAAGTGATTATTCTGGCTGTTGCTTTGTCTTCTAGGGAGCATCTCTCTTCTCATCTAGGTTCTAAACTAATTTTAAAAACAGACAAGAGGGTAAGGCAGATAGACAGTCAGAATATCACCTTTATTACTGGTAAGTGTTAGGAGAACTGATTTATGTCTGAAGGGAAACAGACCTAATAACACTAAACAAAATTAAACAGACTTGCCCATCCCAGCTGTGCTAAACCAGTCTCTGTCCCCACCACCCCCATGAAACTTACAAAGTAGTGCAAAAGCAGGGGTGAACATGTGCTCCCTGGCGCTGGGGATGGAATGACTGGGAACAGGGTGCCAGGACTGTTTCAGTAATTAGGCTCTCTCTCTCCACATGGAAGGAAGCGTCAGAATTGTAGAAGTGACATTTCCCCAACAACCATCGACCTGTGAGGCAGTCTGGCATGAAAATCTCTGCCCAAACAGGGATGATGTTGATTAAACAAACAGTCAGATTATTTCTTGGGAATTTAATTTGGTAAATATGTGGAAAAAATGTTGATAATGGAAGCTAACAGTGAAAAGATACATAAAAAGAACCATGAAGCCTAATTCCCTCTCTGTCCCTGAAGTACCTCATCTATGTATGTGCTTCATCTAATTGTTCCCTGCAACTTAGATTTGCTCACTTTCTGGAGCCAATTTTTATTGGGTTATCTTTTATTTGGTCTCTGTTTTATCCACTTAGGAGCCCCCAAAGTGTCCTGATATCTGACTGTTGTGGATTATAGCAGGTGCCTAAGAAAACCAAATGTCATTAGTGTTGCCTATTATACTAGAGATGACCCCACTAGGAAATCTGGTAATTAAAATACTGATTAGAGTTAGATTCTTGGACTCAAACTGGCCTATTGTGGTTATTTATCCATTTTTATAATTTAACCTTTGGCCTACGAACAGTATGATAAAAATCTTTTTTATGTAATCCTTGGTTCACCTTTCATTCCATGTGTTTATTGTATGTGTTCAATAAAACATGTTTATGGGTTCACCTTCATGTTTTTCCCATAATTGGGAATATATTTTTCAATGGTAAAAATTTAAATTTTTTTCTGGTTTAAGATGCAAAAGAATCAGAGCAAACATTTCCTTATTATTTATTAACTATTTGTTTAAAAAATATTACATTATTCAGCACTTATGTGCTCTTTTAATGCATTGGAGAATACAGACAGCTAAATTCTATATGAAGAACAATTCAACTTACAGCGTGTTTGTTTTTTTATTAGGCAAAGGTAGCTGCAGCAGATGAGAAGAAGTTCCAGCAACAGATCTTGGCCCAGCAGAAGAAAGACTTGACAACTTTCTTAGAAAGTCAGAAGAAGCAGTATAAGATTTGTAAGGAAAAAATAAAAGAGGTAGGAGTACCAATATTTATAGTTAACAAGTTGCCGTTAGAATGGATGGAACTTAAAACTGATTCCTTTTACATTGTGGTCAACAGTCTAATCCATTGACTCTCAGACTTCATGTTACAGTCCCCCCATGTGCTCATTCAGACAGGTTGCTTACCCGCCCTAGATGTTGTGATTCGTGGGGTGGGGTGGAGTGTGACCTGTGGGTTTCTCCGTAGTTCCAGGTGGTGCTGAGGCTGCTGGTCCAGGCACCACACTTCAAGAACCATTGGTCTAACCCTAAACCATTCCTGCCAGCTTCTGGTTTATCCTCCACCTTTAGCCAGAATGATCTTTTCAAACCATAAGTCTCATCATAGCACCTCATGGTTTTAACATTCATTAGCTCCCTATTGCTCTTAGGATGGATCAAAATACTAGGAGTCCCTGTGTGGTCTGCTACCAGCTTCCTTCCAGTCTTACCTCATACCAGTGTTTCCCCACCTGCTTACCCCTCCCCAGCTCTTCACTGCTCCTGCCTCACTGATCACCTTTGGGTTCCTCAGATGTGTCCAGCTCCATCCTTCTCCAAGGTCTTTGCTCATAACTTTCTCCTACCAGGATCCCTTCTCTTTCCCCCACCTCCAATCCCACCCCATAGACAATTCTGTTAATTCCTGCTCCTCCTCCTTGTAAGATTTAGGATTATTTATTAGTACCTTAACTTAAACATCATTTCCCCAGGGAACACTTTCCTTACTGCCTTGACCAAGACAGATGCCCCTGGTTTCATAACCTTAGTCTTCAATTGCACTTTTTTTTAGTAATTATTTGGGCTTCTTACCCTACTAGCTGGTGAACAATAAAGCAGAGACCATGTCCTCCTTTTTTTTTTTTTGCTCTTGACTGTATTCCTGTGTCTGGCACAAGTGAATATTTGATAAATGAATGATTGATTCTTGAATGTTTGGTTGAAGAGCGCTAGTGAACTTAGGGAGTCCTCTCAAGGAACAGCACTTGAATCTGAAAGCTCAGATTTCAGTTCTCCCACCAGGACCTTACAGTTGAACTGCCTGCAGTTCATAGACTTTCCTTCTCCTAAGATGTAGGATTTCTTATTTGTATACTACCAGTGTACTAAGTTTTAATAAAACTTGATATGGGGCATTGTCTTAGAATATGAAATCACTCATTTGAGTTTATATTCTAAGTTAACAGTATGGAACTTAGCAAGGTTCGTCTCTAATTTTTTTTTAAAGTAGGAAGTGAAAGCAGGTGGGTTGGGGTGAGCTTCAGGTTCTTTTACCCTGACCAGAAGAACCTCTGTTAATTGTTAGCACTGGTAGAAATGTATGTGATCCCCACTGTCCAAATAGGAAGATGCTGTAGCACTTATAAGGCCTGGAAAACTAGGCTATAGAGAGAAATAGTCCAACTAGGAATAAGAAAGTTCACATTCTCTCCATTTTCTCTTAGTTATTGCTTGTGCCTAATTATTGTATCATCATAGAAAGATGCTGTTGGATCAAAGAGAAAACTCTGATTTTTCAATAAGAAATCTTGAAATTTTCTCAACTGCCATGGATTTCCAGGCTTTATGGAGCTTCTTAAAGTTGTCATTAGAAGTTAAAGTAGTAACCTAAGGTGTATATTACATTCATGTCTATTCAAATATATTCTGATCATCAGTCCCTTGACGCGGATCTTGGTACAAATAAAAAGAAACAAGATGTTTGTATCCTATGGAAATTTGCACAATTTAGGTCTATTATGGAGCCTGCCATACCCACAGTCCTCTTCAAAAGAAAAGTGCTCCACAAAGACGCTCTTTTAGTGGTGATAATTCATGCCCACAGCTGACTGAACTAGGGATGGGCACCTAACTGGCAGCAGCAAGTGATTATTCTGGCTGTTGCTTTGTCTTCTAGGGAGCATCTCTCTTCTCATCTAGGTTCTAAACTAATTTTAAAAACAGACAAGAGGGTAAGGCAGATAGACAGTCAGAATATCACCTTTATTACTGGTAAGTGTTAGGAGAACTGATTTATGTCTGAAGGGAAACAGACCTAATAACACTAAACAAAATTAAACAGACTTGCCCATCCCAGCTGTGCTAAACCAGTCTCTGTCCCCACCACCCCCATGAAACTTACAAAGTAGTGCAAAAGCAGGGGTGAACATGTGCTCCCTGGCGCTGGGGATGGAATGACTGGGAACAGGGTGCCAGGACTGTTTCAGTAATTAGGCTCTCTCTCTCCACATGGAAGGAAGCGTCAGAATTGTAGAAGCGACATTTCCCCAACAACCATCGACCTGTGAGGCAGTCTGGCATGAAAATCTCTGCCCAAACAGGGATGATGTTGATTAAACAAACAGTCAGATTATTTCTTGGGAATTTAATTTGGTAAATATGTGGAAAAAATGTTGATAATGGAAGCTAACAGTGAAAAGATACATAAAAAGAACCATGAAGCCTAATTCCCTCTCTGTCCCTGAAGTACCTCATCTTATGTATGTGCTTCATCTAATTGTTCCCTGCAACTTAGATTTGCTCACTTTCTGGAGCCAATTTTTATTGGGTTATCTTTTATTTGGTCTCTGTTTTATCCACTTAGGAGCCCCCAAAGTGTCCTGATATCTGACTGTTGTGGATTATAGCAGGTGCCTAAGAAAACCAAATGTCATTAGTGTTGCCTATTATACTAGAGATGACCCCACTAGGAAATCTGGTAATTAAAATACTGATTAGAGTTAGATTCTTGGACTCAAACTGGCCTATTGTGGTTATTTATCCATTTTTATAATTTAACCTTTGGCCTACGAACAGTATGATAAAAATCTTTTTTATGTAATCCTTGGTTCACCTTTCATTCCATGTGTTTATTGTATGTGTTCAATAAAACATGTTTATGGGTTCACCTTCATGTTTTTCCCATAATTGGGAATATATTTTTCAATGGTAAAAATTTAAATTTTTTTCTGGTTTAAGATGCAAAAGAATCAGAGCAAACATTTCCTTATTATTTATTAACTATTTGTTTAAAAAATATTACATTATTCAGCACTTATGTGCTCTTTTAATGCATTGGAGAATACAGACAGCTAAATTCTATATGAAGAACAATTCAACTTACAGCGTGTTTGTTTTTTTATTAGGCAAAGGTAGCTGCAGCAGATGAGAAGAAGTTCCAGCAACAGATCTTGGCCCAGCAGAAGAAAGACTTGACAACTTTCTTAGAAAGTCAGAAGAAGCAGTATAAGATTTGTAAGGAAAAAATAAAAGAGGTAGGAGTACCAATATTTATAGTTAACAAGTTGCCGTTAGAATGGATGGAACTTAAAACTGATTCCTTTTACATTGTGGTCAACAGTCTAATCCATTGACTCTCAGACTTCATGTTACAGTCCCCCCATGTGCTCATTCAGACAGGTTGCTTACCCGCCCTAGATGTTGTGATTCGTGGGGTGGGGTGGAGTGTGACCTGTGGGTTTCTCCGTAGTTCCAGGTGGTGCTGAGGCTGCTGGTCCAGGCACCACACTTCAAGAACCATTGGTCTAACCCTAAACCATTCCTGCCAGCTTCTGGTTTATCCTCCACCTTTAGCCAGAATGATCTTTTCAAACCATAAGTCTCATCATAGCACCTCATGGTTTTAACATTCATTAGCTCCCTATTGCTCTTAGGATGGATCAAAATACTAGGAGTCCCTGTGTGGTCTGCTACCAGCTTCCTTCCAGTCTTACCTCATACCAGTGTTTCCCCACCTGCTTACCCCTCCCCAGCTCTTCACTGCTCCTGCCTCATTGATCACCTTTGGGTTCCTCAGATGTGTCCAGCTCCATCCTTCTCCAAGGTCTTTGCTCATAACTTTCTCCTACCAGGATCCCTTCTCTTTCCCCCACCTCCAATCCCACCCCATAGACAATTCTGTTAATTCCTGCTCCTCCTCCTTGTAAGATTTAGGATTATTTATTAGTACCTTAACTTAAACATCATTTCCCCAGGGAACACTTTCCTTACTGCCTTGACCAAGACAGATGCCCCTGGTTTCATAACCTTAGTCTTCAATTGCACTTTTTTTTAGTAATTATTTGGGCTTCTTACCCTACTAGCTGGTGAACAATAAAGCAGAGACCATGTCCCCTTTTTTTTTTTTTGCTCATGACTGTATTCCTGTGTCTGGCACAAGTGAATATTTGATAAATGAATGATTGATTCTTGAATGTTTGGTTGAAGAGCGCTAGTGAACTTAGGGAGTCCTCTCAAGGAACAGCACTTGAATCTGAAAGCTCAGATTTCAGTTCTCCCACCAGGACCTTACAGTTGAACTGCCTGCAGTTCATAGACTTTCCTTCTCCTAAGATGTAGGATTTCTTGTTTGTATACTACCAGTGTACTAAGTTTTAATAAAACTTGATATGGGGCATTGTCTTAGAATATGAAATCACTCATTTGAGTTTATATTCTAAGTTAACAGTATGGAACTTAGCAAGGTTCGTCTCTAATTTTTTTTTAAAGTAGGAAGTGAAAGCAGGTGGGTTGGGGTGAGCTTCAGGTTCTTTTACCCTGACCAGAAGAACCTCTGGTAATTGTTAGCACTGGTAGAAATGTATGTGATCCCCACTGTCCAAATAGGAAGATGCTGTAGCACTTATAAGGCCTGGAAAACTAGGCTATAGAGAGAAATAGTCCAACTAGGAATAAGAAAGTTCACATTCTCTCCATTTTCTCTTAGTTATTGCTTGTGCCTAATTATTGTATCATCATAGAAAGATGCTGTTGGATCAAAGAGAAAACTCTGATTTTTCAATAAGAAATCTTGAAATTTTCTCAACTGCCAGTTCATACTTATTTCTAACTCCATGTGTTCACTCACACTTTAGAGACTATACTTTATGACTGCAAACTCCATTTTCAGTTTTTGTAATACTAAGATTGCAACATTTGGAAATTACATGAGCTCCACCTTTAGAAGATTCTCCCATAGAACAGCACTCATGAGACCGCATGCAGTCCTTAGGCATACGGCTGTTTTTTGATTCCCCATACTCAGATTTATGAGTGTAAAGGACCACAGAACTAAATTGTAAGTCTTTCAACATGCTCTTAAAGAAAAATAAGCCTAAATCCAATTTAAGGTAGCCTCAGTAAGCCTTTCTATGCAAAGCCGATATTACTCCTTATGAAGTAAAACGTAGTTCAGACTGTCTAAAGAGACATGCATATTTAGATATTGATACTTAAAGATATTGTCCTTGGTATGACAAACTAATCTCTGTTATCCCCACTGTTGATTTATAACAGGGATGTGGTCAATAAACAATGAAGGATGGTCCAGAAATAACTTATTCTTGATTTTGGAGTGAATTTGAATTTGAGTGTGCAATGAAGTGGTTGATGCCAAGCCTAGTAGTGAAGTAATGGCATTGAGAGATGAGTCGCCTAGTTTTCCTGTTGTGATCCCTGCTCACTCCATGCTGGAAACAGCTCTTGCTCTCCTGATTTCACTTAAGACCTCACTGGAACAGGAAGTTGAAAGTTGATGTACAAGTATTTCTTGGCTAAGTACAGAAACAATCTAAATAGCCTGTGATGTCTGCCTGCATCACAAAGCATTAAACAAAATAGGTACTAGCACTTCAAGGAGGTTTCAACTGAGTAGTTAACAAGTATTATTGGTCAGGCTTGTCAGTATGAACAATATGAACAAAGAGTAAACCGTTCTTTCTTTCAAAGTGGTCTTCTTACTTTCCCCATAGATGAACATTGTCTTTAACTGTTCTGATTCACTTTTTTCCCTTTATCCATATGGTCTGGAATAATTATGAATTTTGTCCTTTTGAAAATATAGGTGATTTTACCCTCTAATGCAAATAAAGATTGCTTTTTCCTGAAATGCAAACTAGTGACATTTGCAGAATTACTTCCTGTTTTTGAAATCTGTCCACTTCTGTCTTGTCACCACACCAGCAACTGAGATAGGGCCAGGGTGATCGGTGCAGTGTGACATGAGATGACACTGGCATTGCCATGTGGAGAACAGAATGAAGAAGGCAAGAACATGTCCAAGGAGACAGCTAGGAAGCTATTGCAAAGGTCCAGGCGAGAGATGATATAGCCTGGAGACTCCACATGGCAGTGCCAGTCATCTTTTTGAAATACATCTCATTATGACACCCCTACTTATATAAAATCCATTTCCTGTGCACTAAAGATCAGCATCCTTAACTTGGCCTGGCAGATTCTAATGGTCCTCCCTACCTGTCCAGTGTCATCTCATGTCACACTGCACCGATCACCGTGGCCCTGTCTCACTTTCTTGATCACATCATGTTTCTGTTAACCCATCCTAAAGGTTTTGCACATGCTATTTCCTCTTTCCAAAATATTCTTCTCTCTCCTTTTTCACTGGTTAACTCCTAGAAATTTTTCAAATTTCAGCTTTGTTGTTACCAAGGTCAAGTGTTTTCTATTAAATATCCTTGTAGAACCACATACTTCACCTTCACAGCACTTATCACAGTTACTTTCAGTTCATTTCTGTGGTTCCTTGATTGATGGTTGGTTCTAAACTGTAAAGCCTCATGGTGGCAGATAACACATTCTTTTGCTCACTCTTGTATCCTTGTGCCTTGCACAGTGTCTGTCACATAGGAATTCAATAAAGTGTGTGTTGATTGTCTGAATGAACCAATAATTTCTGAGAGTGGAAGCCAGAGAGATGGAAACTAACAAGTCTCCCCCTCACTTAATACTCAATTAATTGAAGAAAATGAGTTGGGGTGCGGGAAAGGAACAATATTAGACCTTCCTGTCCTTACATTTTCAGTTGCTCTCCAAATAATTTACTCTACCACTGCAACAAACTATTGTGATTATTTTTAGTTGAGACCAGCATGTTTGTTTGTTTGTTTTGTGAAGGAGATGAATGAGGACCATAGCACACCTAAGAAAGAAAAGCAAGAGCGGATATCCAAGCATAAGGAGAACTTGCAGCACACACAGGCTGAAGAGGAAGCCCACCTTCTCACTCAGCAGAGACTGTACTACGACAAAAACTGTCGTTTCTTCAAGCGGAAAATAATGATCAAGCGGCACGAGGTGGAGCAGCAGAACATTCGGGAGGTATTTATAATGTTCATAACTCTGGTCTTTGACATGTGAGGCAATAAGCTTTTTGAGGATCATGATGATTGTGTCTGTTTTGTCCATTTCTGTATCCTTAACCTTTATAATCTTCAGTGCAGCCTGACACAAAGTAGGTTTACAAAAAATGTCAATTAATTTACCACAAGAAAATTGACCATGAGAGAAAGCCCATTTACAGAACAAGCAATGAACTTTTTCCAAATAAATGTAATAGTTTTATTGAATACCTATTCTCAGCTGCATCATGCAGTAAGAATCAAAAGAATAACAGAGAGTTTTTGCCGTCAGCCTACTTGTCAAACACTTGTGTTTTTGTGACACCACACGAAACACTTAAAATAACAGTATGCTGCTCTACAATCAAGTTAATTCTCTCAGCCGTCCAGCACTTACAGAGTGTCTCCTTTGTGCAGGCACTGTGCTAGAGACACCAGGGCTCCCCAGAAACTATACTCCCTGCCTTCAAGTATGCGTAAGTCTAAGAGGAGAAACAAACATGTAGCAGACTAGTTACAGTGTCATATGTTAGATACGATAATGGACATATAAAAAGAATATCATGATCAGATAGTCATGAAAGGGCTTGGAGGACTCAGTGACTGATAAGAAGTTGAGCGTTCTGGATGTACACAGTGGAGCATCAGGACAGGAATAGTTGGAAACAGAATGTGGAGGGCTTTGTTTGTTACAGCAAGGCATTTAGATGTTAGCCTAAAGGCAGTTGCCTGGCCATCAGAGGTTGTGAAGCAGAGAAGTGAAGAACAAAGTTATCTTTGTTTTGAAGAATCAGTGCATCAGTGTGACGCTAGGCGAGAAGAGTAAGAAGCAAAGTACAGTACAATCAGCTAGGATGCTCTTTCTCCAGTTCCGCCTGAAAGAGGCAATGGGGACAGAGAGATATTAGATCTGAGTGATGTTTCTGAAGCAGAACTGACAGTAATTCAAACCAAATGGCGTGACAATTTCAGAAGAGGGAGGGGCCAAAAATGACTTAAAAGGTTCTAATTTGGGAAATTGCATGAGTGTGATATTATTCACTGAGATGAGGAATACAGAATGAGAATGAGTTGCAGATACAAAGTTCAGTAGGAAATCATTGTGACCTAGAGTAATCAGAGAAACCCTCATTAACGGGCTAGAACATTAGTTAAAATATTGAAGTTTGATTTTTAAAAAAAACCCAGTGTTAGACTGTATGAAAGAAACAAGCACTTCAGGCACATTTAATGGGAATGTACATTGGTGTAAGCTTTTTGGACAGCAGTTTTCAAATGGGAAGAAAAAAATGTAGAGCAAACTAAAATTTATTGAACAATTGTAATTATGGGCCAGGCTCAGACTCTTTATCTGTGTTGTCTTATTAGAAAAGGGAGAAACAGCTGAACATTTCTGAACCAGACAATGAGTAACATGGCTAAAATTTTACTATGGAGATATTAGCCCAGTTTGGTGGTGATACACAGATTGATTAGCGCATGCATTCTCAGTGGGAGTGATATTATACCAGGAGGGTAGAAATGGGTTCTTATGGGGGAAGTCCTAGATATTATAATGCCTTGTGGCTCTCTGAAGGGCCCCAGTGTGTAAACAGACAGCCTATCTGTGGTATTAACGTTTAAGAGGAGGAGGAAGGAGGAGTGTAAAAAAAGACATACATATGACTTATTATACATTATATATAACTTTACAAAAATAGGATTACATTTTTATCTGTGGGTTTATTTGATTTGCAAGCAGTAGAAACAAACTCTGGCTGACTTAGCATGGAAAGGAATTTGCTGGAAGGATATGGGGTAGATAACAGAGGTGAAGAATCAAGCTGGAAAAGCAGCTTCTGTGACCTAGATAGCAAGAGCTAATGGCCATTCCTCAAGGCACTGCCATTGGGATGTATATCCTTCAACCATGTTTAATTTTGTATCATTTTTTGTTAAGATTCACATTCCTCGGATAGCTGGAACTGGATTGGGTAATGTGCATACTCACTGATTTAATAGTCTCTCTGATTCCACATAGGGTGGAGTAGTTTCTCAAGCGAAAAGAGGAGCTGTTAACAAAAAAGGGGAAAGGGATACTGAACCTACAAAAATGTCTACTATAAAAGTTTTATAACTTTTTTTTCCTTTTCTTTTTTTATTTTCCTTTTACTCTCTAGGGCACATGGCTATACCTCAAATTTTTTTAACCTTTAATAGTATTTTGGGGGGGTTGACTATAAAATCGTTTATTTAATGAGGTACTTCTCAGTGGATATTTTGTTGAAGTTTTACAGTATTACCAACTGTGCTACAGAGAACATTTTTGTATATAGATCTTTTTACACATATGCAGGTATTTTGTAGGGTATATTCTTGGAAGTGGAATTTCTGGATCCGAGTGTATACATCTAAATTTTTTATAGATATTGCCTTCTAAGAGTTTATATTTCCACCAACAAAGACTACCTGTTCTCCTGTAACTTTGCCAAAACTGAGTATTAGCAATCCTTTTAATTAATGAAAACATTGATCACAAGAGCATGGGTTTTGCCTCTTCCTCTATCATCACTGTACACAGATGCTTTCTGTTTTCTAACCATTTATGAAACTAAGAAAACATTAAATGTCATAAGCTAACCACAACTCCTTGTAAAAGCTTGAATTCTATTCTTACTCAACCTCATGAGCATGAGGACAAAAATTTTGACTTGAGTGAGATCAGATGCTTTTAAAGAAGTCAGCAGCACTTGCACTGAAACTTGAATAGAATGCTTCGATCACAGTTGGAAAGGGTTTATCAGGTGACACACCCTGGATGCACATCTTAGACAGGAGGTAGATGCATGTAAAACATGGCAATGTGCTTAGGGGCCATAGTGTATGGCCAGGGCCATACGTTGTACATATATTTCAACACTAAGCTCACACTCAGCTTGGTGAGATACTCACATTATGTGATGTGGTTGATGGAAAGGGAGCTACAAGCCTCTTATCTCACAGCCCCTTTAGACAAATATACATGGAGTGATTGTGCGGATGGGCAGAATCACCTGTACCATTAAATTCATTTTTGTCCTTTGGCTCAGCTCATTTTTATTGAATTTGCACAGACTAAAGTTACACATGAGGCTTACTGTATATTGTGTCATCTATGCAGATGAAGCCACCATTGTATCATGTCTAGCTACAGTAGAGGAATTCTCCAGAATATTGTATCACAGACTGAATAAACATAAAACTGGAAAATATGAGCGATTCAATGGACATCTTTTAATGGAAAATGTTGAAAAATCTAAAAACCTGAGTTTTAGCCTCTGTTCTGCTTTATAGAAGTTGCATGATCTTACGTTAGTTTCTCAATTCCCAAATGTTTTACTATCATATATAAAAGAAGTAAATACTTGTACTCTTAGCACCTTCTATGTTTACAGTTAGGATTGAATGAGATATATGAAAGCACTTTTAAAAATTGAAAGCATATTACACATTATTATGTGGACTCATAATAAGCCAAATAACGTTCTTTTCCCAAGGTTTAAAATTTTTTTGGCAGTTTATCAACTTATATCTCAGCAACTCAGATATAGGAATTAATAGTAAAGGGAACAACCTACAATTATAACAGAAAACCCATTTCATCATCATGTTTCTCTCACTTTTTTACAATACATGCTAGATATTTGCTTTTGAATAAAGAAAAATGACATGTTTATGTATTCTGAAGCATTTTCTTATGGTCCCTCATCTTCACAAGAATGGTAGTTCACAGTGGGTACTGTTATCTTCACTTTATACCTTAGGAAACTAAAATGTAAATTAAAAGACTTACCCAATGCCATACATGATGAGTCAATGGAAGTCAGCTGAAAGTGACTTACGCCCTGAATATTCTTCCATTGCTTCTTAAACTTTAGTATTTATCAGAATTAGCTGGGTGTCATATTATTAAGACCAATCACATGTAATGCAGATAATTCTGATGCAGGTATTCTGTGGACATCATCCTGAAGCATTCCATTAAACATAAAATTGAAGTAGTTGACTTTTTCTGAAAGTGTTGTTTGCTTTATATCTTTTATATTTTTCGCCTTGAGTTTCAGGGCTCTGGGCAGCTTAGACTAAATTTGGATCATTTCGGAAAATATGGAATGTATAAATGCCCAATGTTGGGAGTCCTGGGACTCAAAGGTTAAAATGATATAGTGATCTAGGAACAGGACCTTTACCCATGTACAGGGCTTTCCTTGGCTTTTCTCCTGGTCATCAGCCTGCAATAATCGCTTGTCTATGAGAAGGCCTCACCATCCTTTGGTGCCACCTAGGGGCCAGTTAGTGATTTTTAAACGAGGGTTAGTAAGCCAAAGACAGAGTCATGGGTTAGTAAACATTTGTATGTACCCAGAGCACATGGTTGAGAATTTGATACAGTGTCACTCAGGAAATATTCTTGAACCAGTGAATGAAAATTTCACCTAACTCCCTCCCACACACTTTTGTTTTTCTTTCCTCCCTTCAGCAGGAAAGAAAGACATGAGTAGACCCAAAAAGAACAGAATGATTAGATCTAGAAATGTTCAAACAGACTGTAATGGAAAAGATGAAAGAAGAGAGATTTCATCTGCTTTTTCCCAGCCTGTCCTAAACTCTGAGATTTTTTTAAAAAAACATATCAGTGGACTACTTCAAAAACACATACAAAACAGGATATTTCCCAGAAAACTAAGAACATTGCAGACATTATCAGTTTAATTCATTGATTCTCAACTCAGACTGTATATTAGATTCACCTCACCCCAAGAACTCTTAAAAATATTGGTGTCAGGGTCCCACCCCAGACAGTTATCAGAATTTCAGGTTGTGGGATTCAGGAAGCATTTAATTCATTAAAACCTTCCTCATATGATCTTAATGGGCAGCCAGAACTGAGAATCACTGGCTTAACTGAAGAAACATTCACTTAGGCCAATGCATAGCACATCACCTAATTAAGGTTCACAGCAGCTCGTGAGGTAAGAAGAAATCAAGTAGAATTAATCCTATTTTGCTGATAGCATAGTTGTGATTGGTATGAAATTGTCCATCTTGTAAGTGATGGACCCAAATAGAACCTAAATGTCCAGGGATTGTTAATCTAATCTCAATAAATCATGCCTATTAATGGGTTTAATTAAGAGACAGTAGGGCCATTCCCTCACTTACTCATACACCTTCCAATTCGTCTCTCTCTGTTTATCTTTTGTTCCTGAGTATAGGAACTAAATAAAAAGAGGACCCAGAAGGAGATGGAGCATGCCATGCTAATCCGGCACGACGAGTCCACCCGAGAGCTAGAGTACAGGCAGCTGCACACGTTACAGAAGCTACGCATGGATCTGATCCGTCTACAGCACCAGACTGAACTGGAAAACCAGCTGGAGTACAATAAGAGGCGAGAGAGGGAACTGCACAGGAAGCATGTCATGGAACTTCGGCAACAGCCAAAAAACTTAAAGGTAAGAGGAAATGGGAGTATTTCCCTATTTGTGCTCCAGCACACAATAGATCAGTGGTTCCTACAGCTAGATGACTGTCAGCGTCACTTGAGCCACAAAACCACCAATTCCTGGACCCCACACCTACTGAGTCAGAATATCCAGACGGGAAGCACGAGAGTCAATATGTAACAAACTCCTGAAGAGATGCTGCTGGGCAAGCTGGCTTGCAAACCACTGTGCAAAATGTTCTCTCCATTTGTCTTTGCATGTATTATACAGTTTTTCTGACCCCTTCATGACCTGCCCTCTTTAAAATTGTACTGTGGTTCTAATCCGAGAAAATGAGAAAGTTACCTGGCAGGTATATGGCAGATAAATTTCATCTGTTATGCCAATCAGACTATTGGTAGTAGCTAGCTTGAGCATTGCTGTATTGAGAAAGACTCTAAAGCCACATCCAAGCATAATGTGAAAGAATATGATTTATTAGTGACATCTGTCATGGGCTTGGGAATCAGAAGTGAATCTGCCTGCACCAGGCATTTATTATCCTGACTCTCGAGATTTGGAACACCTTGGGCCCTCACTGCCTCCAGGTAATTCCAGCTGACTGCTGATTAACAAGTTATAGGGACTAAGCCACTGCTATATGTTCAGGGGGTCATTGCCAAAGTTGATACAGATATGAGGCCAACCTCAACCACACTGGCCATGCTCCTGTAGACAAATCTTAGTGATCCCTGTCATTACAGCTCCTCCAAGTACACATGAAATACACATTGACTATGGGACAACCTGGTGGAATGCTTTCTGGACTTAAACACACCACACTTCCTCTTTGCTACATACAAGTAAAGTATAACTTCTTAATGGGGAAAAATCTAAAATCTCAACCTGGTGGAATGCTTTCTGGACTTAAACACACCACACTTCCTCTTTGCTACATACAAGTAAAGTATAACTTCTTAATGGGGAAAAATCTAAAATCACTTTTCCCTTTCCGTTTATGCTGGAATCCAGTGGAAACGGGTTCTGATGTGAAACATTATCCGGTTGTTCTTCACCGATTTGTCAAGGAAGCACAGAGCAGCGGTAGCCAGCTTATACACTGCCATCCCCTTTCTCACTTGGAAGTAAAGGGGGATGAGGAAAAAGCAACAAATAGAAGACACTGAAGATTCTGAGTAGGAAACCATTAAAATAATAAACATGCTTTTACCAAACTAAGCTTCATAGTATTTCACAATCTCCTTAGAGTTGTGATCCCCTTATAACAATTCATTTTTTTAATCCATTCGTAAATTCAAAATTACTTCCATTCATTTTATATAAAACCAAAAGTATTGGTAGAGTTAACTCTTATCTGTGTCGTATGCATTATTTTCATTATTATTGACCAGTCATGTGGATCACTGTACCAAAAGACAACCGGTCTCAGCACTTGTATTCTATCATTAGGATGAAAGGCTTCCTGTGTTTACTGATGTGTCTTTATTTTCTTTTTGCCACTTTGTCTACACAGGCCATGGAAATGCAAATTAAAAAACAGTTTCAGGACACTTGCAAAGTACAGACCAAACAGTATAAAGCACTCAAGAATCACCAGTTGGAAGTTACTCCAAAGAATGAGCACAAAACAATCTTAAAGACACTGAAAGATGAGCAGACAAGAAAACTTGCCATTTTGGCAGAGCAGTATGAACAGAGTATAAATGAAATGATGGCCTCTCAAGCGGTAAGTGGTTAGGTTTGGTGCCACAGCTTCGAGAGCTTTGGGAATCAAGAAAATTCAAGATCCAGCTTTTGTTCCCAAGATGATTCTGGCACAGATTTAGGATATTGGTGTTTTTCTGCCCAAAGAACTGAGGAAATGACGACGCTGAATAAAGCCAAGCCAATGTGGATACTTGGAGTGTGTTTTATAAGATGGAACTCAAGGAATAACCTGCTAAATCAGACCTGTGGCACTTAGGGACTTTGAGGGCAAGATGTGATAGATAACCACATGCAATGTCATATTTCCATTCATCAAAGATTGTGCAACTGTCAGGTACAAATGAATAAGAAACACAGATACACTCATTCAGTAAACTTTTGCTGAGCATCTGTGTTCAGCTTTCTGCTGGGCTCAGAGATAGAGTGATGAGGTAGAGAGACAAGTTAGTCCTGTCCTCACACTTTAGTCAGTCAAGCAAGGTGGTCAGATAATTAAGCAATAAAAATAAAGTATAGTAAGTGCTTTGAAGTGGGAGGTGCTGGGGGCTGCAGGAGGAGAAATAAAAATGATTTATCTGGCCTAGGAAAAGCTTCCCAACAAGAGCCAAGAAGCTTGAAGGAATTTATTGAAGTAAACAGGTCCCATGGAAGGGGATCTACATAGGTGAAGGTCCAAAAGATGGCAAGTGTGCATTTAGGGACTGAAAGAACTTTGGTATGAGCCCAAAGTTCAAGGAGGATTATGGGAGCCCAAAATGGAGAGGTCATAAAGGTCTTGGTAAACTAGGGATGGGAGTTTGCCTGGTAATTCAGGGAAGGTTTCACAAGGAGATGAATCTTAAAGATCACTGAACAGGCAGAAGAGAAAAGTTATGCCTGGCAGAGAATACAGTGTATGCAAAGACCCAAAGGCCTGAAGGAGACTGGTGGTACATCTGAGGATAACTGATATGGCGAAAGTATAAAAGGAATCTGACTGGGGGTCGGATCCTCAAAAGCCAGGAGTTTGGACATTATTCTATAAGTAATGGAGAACTGCTGAAGCCTATTTTAAGAAATGTGACAGGATCAGATGTGCATTATAGAAAGATACTGGCAGTAATGTGACAAATATAGGTAAAGACCTATTAGGAAGCTGTTGTAATAGTCCAGGAAAAAAAGTCATGAAGGCCTGAACTAATAGAGAATAAATATGCTAATGGAGATGATGAGGAGGGAGAGAAATCTGAGAAATATTTAAGAGGTAGAATAGATAGAGCTTAGTGACAAGTGAGGAGTAGCTTTGGTAATAGTGGAATGGCTCATCATTTTACCAAGATAGAAAAATAGATGGAGGGGTGAGTTGGATGCCTGGAAGATAACTGACTAAGGTATGGATGTGTTATCTGACCTATGCGGGTGTCCAAGTAGAGAGGTACAGAAATGGAAATCTGTAATTCAAGAGAGTGTTATGATTAAAGACAAAAGTTAGGTGTCAGTGTTATGTGGGGCAGTTGTAGCTGTTGGGATTGCCTGAGATCTTCCAGGCATGGGAGGTAGTATTAGAGAAGAAGGGAACTAAAGGCAGAGTTGTGGGCACCTACATGTGAGAGCTGAGTAATAGTAGACCAAAGGAAATCAGAGCATAGGAGGGGAACCAGAGCGAGCATGTCACAGAAGCCAGAAAAGAAGTTTCTAGTTGATGACTTCAAATGTTGCAGAGAGACCATTTAGACCTAGCAGTGGATCTGTTCTTGCCCACAGATTGTCACAGACCGTCCGGGAGTGGTGGGATGGAAGAAATTAAGAGGGCATTGAAAAAGTGATCATAAAGTGAGATAGAAACTGTAAGTGCGACTGCTTTTTCCCAGATCCTCATCAGTGAAGGAAAGAAGAAAGAAAGCTATAGCTAGAGGAAGAGACAGTACAGAGAGGACTTCTGTTATTGGGAAAGGCTTAAACATGTTCTTAAGCTAAGGACAGGATGCAGAGTGTTCATTCATTCACCCAATAAGTATTTATTGAAGTATGTTCATTCATTCATTCATCCATCCAGTAAGTATTTATTGAGTGCTTATCCTGTGTTCCAGGGACCTGGGATACTGTGGTGAATACAACAGTTATCCATTATGTCTTCATGGAATTTATAGAAGAATGGAGGAAACAGATGTTGAAAATTTCTACTCAGTGTAATAGCAGTGTGCTGAGTGTAAGCCAGGAGGGCGAAGCTGGTCTTGAGAGTCAGGAAAGGCCTCTCAGACAGTGATTATTTAAGCAGAGGTGTAGGAAAAACGTTTTAGGCAAAGGGAACTGCATTTGTAAAGATGGGAGACAGCGGCACTTTTGAAGGACTCAAGTCCGTTATTTCTGGGATATAGAGAACTAGGAGGAGACATATGAGAATAAGACTGGAGGGGTGGGTACACAGGCTGGATCATGTAGTGGCTTGTAAGCTTTCTTAAGAATTTTGTTCTTTATCCTAAAAGCAATGGAAAGCCATTGAGTATTAATGAGGGAACTGACATTAGATTTACATTTTTGAATGATCACTCTGGAGACATGTGGAGAATGGCCCGGGAGAGGCAAAAGTGGATATAAGGAGATAATTTATATATCTAAAGTTGCTCTTTTACCTGCGCATGAGGGAGTGGTGGCTAGACTAGAGAGGCAGCAGTTGGGATGAAGGAGAAAGTGACTAAATTTGAGAGGTAAGCAGGAGGCAGGAGTGAAAGAATTTAGTAACGCACTGAATGTGGAGAGTGAGATAATAAGGATGATTCCCAGTCTGTAGTTGGAACAAAATGGTAGATGGTAGTGCCATTTATCTATATGGTAAAAACGGAAGCGAAGCAGATTGGGAACGTGGGAAAGGAAAGATATTTAGTTACCGTTAGTCATGCTGAGCTTGCCGGCTTGGGACTCAAGTGAAGATGTCTCTAGTTGACTGGATAAGATGGCCTGGACCTCAGAAAAGAAGTCTGAAATAGAAGTACAGATGTGTAAGTCATTTCTGTAGAGATGGTAGTTGAAGCCTTTGGAAAAGATGGGAGCCTCGGGAAGAGAGGTCAGAGTGAGAAGAGCACCCACAACAGGTAATGGCCCAGGAAGGGGGTGGCTGGGGAGGGAGAGGAGGAGGAAGACAAGAGACTGTGGCACCTCGGAAGACAAGAGAGAGATTTCAAGAAGGAGGGGGCAGCCCACAATATCGAACATTACTGGGAGGTCAGGGAGGTAAAGGTCCTTTCAAGGTGGTACAGGTGACCCTGTGGGAGCCATGTAAGCCAAGGGGTAGGGTCAGAATGCGGGGTACAAAGAGAGGCTAAAGGAAGGAGAAGGGGAGAGGGAACTGATGGGGGCATAAAGGTTGATAGGATTTTTGTCTTGTTCATCTTTGTATTCTCAGCCTCTGCAGCAATGCCTGGCATACAAGTGCTCAATGAATGTTTGTTACGTAAAGCGGGAGAGAACAGGATCAGGAATATAGGTTCCTGGTTGCCCTTAAATAAACGAAGAGAAATACTCTTTCTTCTGAGGTAGGGAGGAGATAAAAGTATGTGTGATAATTTCAGCTGTCCTTTAATGACTGTTTACCATATGCCAGGTACTGTTCTAAGTATTTTATAAGTGTCATTTCATTTCAAACCCCTTGGACCTCTGAAGTAGTTACTGGTTTAACCCTAATTTACCTGTGATGAAACTGAGGTTTTTATGAAGTTTTATGAAGCACTTGTATAGAGTCAGAGCTGGCACAGAATACCATAGTAACTGACATTAATAACAGCATGCCAGAAATAAGAGAAGATGGAGATGGTTGAAACTGCCCATAAAATGAGCCTCTCACCTACTTGGCCAGGGCTCATAATAATTAACAAAGATAAGTAGGAAAGAACAGACTTTCCTTCCCTTTATTGGTAAGGAGGTGTGTCATATCTTATCCAGGTTTTATGAGAGTTTTATGAATAAAGCCACTTGCTTAGGGCAGAGCTTGGCAAACTTCTTCTGTAAAGGGACGGATAGTAAATATTTTAGGCTTTGTGGACCATGAGGTCTCTGTCACAACTACTGAGCTCAGCTGTTGTAGTGCAAGAGCAACCAAAGACAATACATACATACATGAGTGAGCATGTCTACATTCCAATAAAATTTTATTTACAAAAATAGGCAACAAGCCAGGTTTTGCCATAGTGTACCAACTCCTGACTTAGGGCGTCACAGTGGGTAGTTAGCTAATTGGTGCTGGAGGTAGGATTTGAACCCATTTTGAGAGGAGCCTGTAAGTCTGTATGCCTGGTCACTACTCCATTATGCTGCTTCTGTCCCTCCTTTTCTTCAGTTTAATCCACTTTAGAAAACAGATAGGATGCGTACCTTTACTTTTATAAAACTTTTTAATGGATTTGGTATGTGCAGCTTTTGGGTAATGAGTACCAAATACTGGAATATCCTCTGATTTCTAGACTAGCACTTGTGTAGAGTCAGAGCTGGTACAGAATACCATAGTCACTGACATTAATAATAGAATGTCAGAAATAAGAGAAGATGGAGATGGTTGAAACTGACCTACTTGGCCAGGGCTCATAATAATTAACAAAGGTAAATAGAACAGATCAGACTTTCCTTCCCTTTATTGGTAAGGAGCTGTGTCATATCCTCTCCAGAGGGAACTGGTAACGGTCTCACTGGGAGCCAGTAAACCCTTTGCCATTCATCTGTGAGGCTGTTCCTGCTGCTGACTGACTGTTCTGTGTGTCCAGTATCTCCCCTCCCTTCATTAGTAAAAGTTGATTAGGGTTAATTATTAGAAAGCACCTTGAAAATATGGTTATATTACTTATTCTGTGTTCATTTGATACAGTATATTTCTCCAAAAGTAGTAAGGAAGATAATGCAACTAACTTTCTAAACCTATCCTAATAACATTTCAAAATGCCATTTCTCAATCAAGATATTAAGATATAGTCACTAATTGTATAGAATAGGAAAGGAAGTATAAGGTAGAGAGTAAGTATCTTGGCAAAATGTGGTCTATATGGAAACACACAGATAAATTCAGGGTAGACAGAACTGTCTACTTCGAGGGTTCTGATCTCAGTTTCCAGCCGAACCGAGGGCCTGCTAAATCTAGACAAAACCAAACCTGGGAAAGGAGAGTCCCCGAACAGAGTCTTGCTAATGGCCCCAGACCTTCAACAATGTTGTTGGCATTTCTGATGGCTAGCTTGGCCCATTCCCCATACGGGATTGGTATCTTGGTGTATAGTACAAAGTCCAGATGTCACAAGGAGCAAGGGAAACTTTATCAGGCTGCCTTATAGTAAGGCACTGATTCACTGCTTCAAACCAGAATATGCCCCATAAGATTATCAAGGCCACCTTCTGTGGGAAAGAGATTTTGAACCACTTGAGTTTTAGAGTGGCTGGCCAGCAAGATCACTTACATAGCCAATAATAGGAACCAACATTATTTGCTAGGAGCATAATAGTACATGGTATATTCCTCAATTGTCTGGAGCTTGGACTCATTTTTTTAGAGCTAAGCACATCTAAAGGTATGGTGATTTGGGGGTTAAAGATATCTAAATATGGAAATTGGCTAGTCAAAACCAAAACAATGATAACAGCTATCATTAATATCAATAAATAATGATATTTACTGAACACTTGGTATACATCTAGAACTATGCCTAGGATTTTATATGACGTCTGTCATTTAATCCACATACCAATCTTAGAGGGTATGGACTATTGTTTTCTTGAGATGAAAAAAATGAGACTTGGGGAGATTGAGTGACTTGCCAAGGTGACACGCCTAAGCTAATGGTGGGGCTAGAATTCAAGCTCAGGAGCCTGCCTCCGAAGCCCACAGTCTTAATCAATGAAGTATTGTAGCGTTCTTGACTCTCGCTAGTGTGGTCTTAAGAAACCAGGCTTTCTTAACAATGTGTTTGTTTTCTTAAGAAAGACTGTTTTAAGAAAAGAATGTGTTTTAAAACTTTGTAGCCCATTGGGCAGAATGTACTGTTTTTGATTCCTAACTCTGAATGTACCCAGGGCACCTGTTTTTCTGAGAGGACCTGTTTCAGTCCAAAGAAGGAAATGTCTTCCACTAGCCATTAAGTGCTGTAAGCTAGGAGTGAATTACAGTGTATGTCTTCTGTGCCCGCAGTTACGGCTAGATGAGGCCCAAGAAGCAGAATGCCAGGCCTTGAGGCTACAGCTCCAGCAGGAAATGGAGCTGCTCAATGCCTACCAGAGCAAAATCAAGATGCAAACAGAGGCACAACATGAACGTGAGCTCCAGAAGCTAGAGCAGAGGGTGTCTCTGCGCAGAGCACATCTTGAGCAGAAGGTATGAAAATGGTACTATGGGTCCTGTATACCTGGGTGGAGGATGGGCCATGGCCTAGGGACAGTCACTTTTTGAGCCCTGCCTAGGTACCAGGGGATTAAAGTAGGCACTGTCCACGTATTATCTGCTTTTATACTGCTAGAACTCCAAGAGGTGGGCATAATCTTCATTCTACCGGCAGGATACTAAGGCTCAAATGGTTAAGTTATTTATATAACTCTGTTCTCACAGCCTGAGTTCTTTCTATTACTCTGCTAGGAAACCCTCCACCTTCCCAGCCAGAGGAATGACGTGGGTTACTGGGTAGTTGATAGGACATATGCAAGGTACTCTGAGCTGGTTAGCATGGCTGCTAAATGGCATGAGGAAGCCACATGCAGATTTGGTGTTTATTTTCAGCGATTTCTAAACCAAAAGAAATCATCAGCAGGACTCTTTAAAAAAATTAAATTGAAGTGAGGCTGATAATGTCATGCATAATAAATGTTATTGGAACTGAAATATTCATTGCTTTAGATATTGCTGAGGAATATGAAGTAGATTTCATAAAGCATCTCAAAACTGTTAAGCATTTATTTGCATAACCAGTTATTTGTGCTTTCTTCTGGTAGTTTCCTGAGACCAGTGTAAGAGACTATTTTCCCAGCTCCTGTTCTAGAACTAAATTGCTAATGACCCAGGGGGAATTTGGCTCTCTCTGGGAGAGCAGCACAATCTAATTGTGCTTGAGTGTCTTTTAGCTTCTCCTGGGCCGTCTCCTGCTGAGACAGGACACTGGCCTAGATCAGCCCAGCTGCTTGGCTTGCTAGAATGGTAGTGCCAGCCCCAAGTGAGCTCCAAACATGTTCACTCCTGTGAGCAAGTTTCAAATATAATGGATTAGATACACGGCATTTATCACAGGACTCCCCCAGCCTTCCCCACTCCAGTTCACTCTTAGTTCCTATGCGTGTGTGTTGTACGTGTGTATGTATGTGTGCGTGTGGGTGCCTGTAGGGAGATCCTTTCCATTAAGAACTGCTCATTGTGCTTATTTTAGATTGAAGAAGAGCTGGCTGCCCTTCAGAAGGAACGCAGCGAGAGAATAAAGTACCTATTGGAAAGGCAAGAGCGAGAGATTGAAACTTTTGACATGGAGAGCCTCAGAATGGGATTTGGGAATTTGGTTACATTAGATTTTCCTAAGGAGGACTATAGATGAGATTAAATTTTTTTGCCATTTACAAAAAAAAAAAGAAAACAGAAAAAAATTCAGACCCTGCAAAACCACATTCCCCATTTTAACGGGCGTTGCTCTCACTCTCTCTCTCTCTTACTCTTACTGACATCGTGTCGGACTAGTGCCTGTTTATTCTTACTCCATCAGGGGCCCCTTCCTCCCCCCGTGTCAACTTTCAGTGCTGGCCAAGACCTGGCCATCTCTTCTACTCATAGTACACGTCACAGTATTGATGTGATTCAAAATGTTTCAGTGAAAACGTTGGAGACAGTTTTAACAAGACCAATAAACCAACAACAAAAAGTGGACGTATATTGCTTTAAGCAAAATCACTCATTACCACCAATCTGTGAAAGCAAAGCAAAAAAAATAATAATAAATGCCAAGGGGGAGAGAGACACAATATCCGCAGCCTTACACCTTAACTAGCTGCTGCATTATTTTATTTTATTTTATTTTTTTGGTATTTATTCATCAGGAATTAAAAAAAACAAAGTTTTATTAAAGATTGAAAATTTGATACATTTTACAGAAACTAATTGTGATGTACATATCAGTGGTGACATATTATTACTTTTTTGGGGATGGGGTGGGTGGGCGGGGTGAAGAGATCTCGTGATTTTTAAGAACCTGCTGGCAAGAGTTTAACTTGTCTTCAGCATATTCTGATTGTATCATAATCATTTTCTGCTGTTGCAGAGGATGTGAATACACTTAAGGAGCTCACAGAATCCCAGTAGCACAAATTGGGCTTTGGCAAATCGTGTATTTTGTGTATAGAAGGAATTTAAGGAGAGGTATTACTTATTTTCATATTGTATTTTAACTGTTTCTCTGATCAAATTTTTTTACTTCCTCCTCCTATTCCTCCCCACCTCCCTCCTTTTCCAATTCAGTATTTGGAGTCCAACACTGTCTCTCAATCAGATCATCTTGATCTTTTTCTTTATTTCCCTTCCCCTCCCCAAATCCCATATCTTGGTCATAAATATTGCATTATTCACACTTTCAAACTGTGTATTTTCTTACAATAAAAAATGATGAAAAAAAAAAGGCTTTACTTCTTTTGCATGCACTTTAAAAAACAAAACAAAACATTTTTCAGGTTCCAAGGAAGAGCATGATAAAACTGTCAGAGCTTTTAATTATATTTGTAAATAAAAGTGTTCATCACATCGCCTTGCTGTGTTATTGTAGCAGGAAGTTTCCCTTCTAGGTTCACCAGTTCATATTCGAGAGGAAGAGCCACTCTCCAGAAACCGTTCTACTTCATCCCGACTGCTGTAAAGCCACCCATGTTTCCAGGTAAAGCTGTGTCTCTCAGGTTGTTCTACAGGGCTGAAAATAGTGTTGCACTGTTTGAAGTGGTCAACTGTACCTTTTATCCTCAAGAATAGAAAAAGACACATGTGCCTGGGCACACACACACACACACACACATACACACCAATGTGCCAGTTGTGCATAGGTGCATGTATTGCCGAGGAAACAAGTTGGACAGCCTGTGAAAAAGACATTATAACAAATATTTGAAATGATCCCTCCTCCCTTCACATTCTGCTTTTATTAGAATAATTTTATGTGCATAACAATAAGGTAGTAAAATGCATAACTTACAGGATATGGTTTTGGGGTCAAGACAAGCTAAGTAAGATCTTCTCATAGTCTTAGGGTTCTAAGTCCTAGACGTTGAAAATTCATATTCAGCATGATGACCTGAAGATCATTCTTGTATCCTACAGGACATTCAGTCATCACAGACAATTGCAACCATGTAGACTCAGATCAACTAAAGCAAAGAGGTATACTCAAAAAATGACAAAATAATTATGAATATGGGTTAACCCCAACCATAAAGCCTTTAATAATTATCATCCAGTTTCCTTAGCAGCTTAGTTCATTGATGTTTCTATACCAGGTACACCAGAAAATAATACTGGAAAAGCTGAAAAGAAGACTCACAATTTTCCACAAAGCATAGATATCCTGTATTGCATGTTTATGCTTGCCATGGGATGGGACACTACACTAACCATTTTAAAGATAAGGAAATAAGCTCAGCCCAGGATACATAGTGGGAGAGTCTGAATTAAGACCTCTCCGATTTCAGAACCCACACTCCTAAGCACAGGTCACACTGTCACTCAGAGGACATTAAATCATCAGTAAGGCAGAAAGACTTCCTGTAAATTATTTCATCTATTTCTCTCTGTAGTGAAAAATGTCCACCTATCTTATGAAAAGGCATGTCTGTGAGATTCTAGGTGCTGCTCTTTATAAAACTTCCCTCACCACCAGCTTTTCAGGGATGTATCCCAAGGTAGTTACCAGAAAGAAAGAATGTGGGTCCCTGTTCCTAAGACCTGGTATAGACCAAGTCCTCCAACTCCTAGTACCTTCATGAGAGGGCAATAAAAATAGACCGGGACCAGAATGGCAGCAAGAGAACAGGTATGAAAAAGGGACAGCAGCAGAAATCCAGTGTCCTGTAGTCTTCCAACATTTACCAAACTCCCAAGGTAAAAAGAAAAGAATTATTACAGGTTTATCATGCCTATGAGGAAGGACTGCTTACCTTTGATTTATACAAGTATTCATTCAGTGAATATTTACCAAGTCCTTTATATGTCAGGTGCAATGCCGGATGCTTAAGATACATCAGTGTATGTCAAACAGGTAAAGATCCTTGCCCTAGTGGGGCTTACATTGAGGGTAGGAAGAAAATGGTAATAATTATATGATCTTACATGGTAATAAGTGCTATAGATAAAGGAAAAAAACAGGAAACGTAGGGGATATCAGAAGTGCCGGGATCAGCATACATTCACTCATTCATTCAAATATTTATTGAGCATCTGTTGTGTACATGGGAGATAGAGCAGTAAACAATGATGGATGGGGTCACTACTCTGCTGGAGCTCATGGTTTAAATATGCATTGAAAAATATGCACAGAAGTAAATCAGCAATGGATTAGCTTAGCAGTGGACTAAGACAGACCGTGACAAAGCAAGTGCTGGGTGCTATCAGGAGTTCAAAGGAACTGAAACAACTACTGTCAGAGGGAATATCAGAGAGTACTTTCCAATGATACCCAATGAATTAAGTAAAAAATTTTGTTTCTTGAATTTACTACCATCTATAATTATTTGCTTTATATATCTACTGAAAAAGAGTATTCCTGGGCAACTGGAAACATGCCCATGTAAGAACTCCATTTACCCCTCTGATTTTAGTTTAGTAAGATATTTTGCCAGAGAAATAAGATATAAAAAATAAATTTTTATTGCTCTAGTTTGGCATAGCAGTAAGTCCCGCTGATTGCAACTCAAAACTAGATAAAATGCAAAAGCAGCTATCTGAGGACACTGAAATATAAAAGCAGATGGACTGTGGGGAAGCAACTAAGACAGGGGAATGAAGGCAAAATAAAACCGTTCTCAGATGAAGAAAAATTAGAATTCATTGCCAGCAGCCTATTCTTCAAGAAATTCTAAGGAAGTTCCTCATACTGAAGGAAAATGATGCAAGGAGGAAACCTGGATCACTGAGAATGAAGGAAGAGCAACAAATGGTAAATACCTAGGTAAATATAAAATACTTTCATCCCTCATATTCTTTAAAATACATTGAAAATATATATTCTGTTAGAAGCAAAAATTACCACAGTGGGGAGTGTTTTGATGTATGTAAATGCAATTCACATGACAACTATAATGTAAAGTTTGGGAGTTAAAAGACCCGTATGGTTGCCAGGCTTCTACATTTTACATGAAGTAATACAATTCTTTTAATAAGACTATGAAAAATTAGTTATGGATACTATAACTCCTAGAGCAACTACTAAAAACAAAAAGAAAACTCAAAGAGGTATAACCAAAAATTCAATAGATAAAATATTCAAATAATCCAGAAGAAGACAGGAGAGAACAAAGATATAAAGAAAAAAGAGGAACAAGCAGAAAACATAAAATGGTAGACCTAAATCCCACCATATCAATAATTATATTAAATATTAAAGTCTCTAGACAGTTCAGTTAAAAGAGATTGATCGAGTAGATATAAAAAGGAATATATGCTGCCTATAAGAGACAAACTATAAAGGCACAGATAAGTTGAAAGTGAATGGAGGAAAAAAGTGCCATGTAAATAATAAAATCAAGGCTAGAGTATTATTTTGGTATCAACTAAAATAGACTTCAAGACAGTATTATCAAATATATAAAGGCATTCATAACATGAAAAGGAATAATTTATCAAGACATCATTTTAAATGTATATATACACCTAATAACAGTACCCAAAATACATGAGTCAAAAATTAACAGAATTAAATGCATAAATAGAAAACAATTACAGATTTTAACTCCTCTCAGCAACTAGGCACATACACACAAAAATAAGACACAGATCATAACACTATCAACCATCCTTGATTTAAATGACATTTATAGAACTCTATATCCACAAATGTGAATACACATTCTTTTCAAATATACATGATGTATTCACCAAGCTAGACCATATGCTGGGGCAGGCCATAAAACAAGATTTAGTAAATTTTTAAAAATCAGAATCATACAAAACATTCTCTTACCAAAGAGAATTTTTTAAAAACCAACTGTAATAAAATATTTAGGAATAAAACATCTGGAAGTTAAACAATGCATTTCCAAATTAGACATAGGCCAAAATGAAATCACACGAGAAAGTAGAAAATATTCAAACTGAATGACAAATATACATACTAAATTTGTAAGAGGCAGATAAAGTAGCCCTTAGAAATCTTAAACTTTAAATGATTATATTAGAAGAGAAACCAATAAAGTTCCACCTTAAGAAACTAGAAAAAGAAGAGCAAAGTAAAGTATGTATACGGATAGAAAGAAGGAGGAGCAATTCAATTAAATGAGATAAAACAACAAGAGAAACTACCCAAGTCAAAAGCTTATTCTATGAAAAGGGCAACAAAATCAACAAATTTCTGGCTAGACTTACCAAGAAAAAAACAAATTGC